ACACTCAGTGTCATCAGACTCAGTTTGCAATCTTATGTGAGGAGCTTCCTTCACTTGACACTGCAGAAGTCTAGGCCAATTCTATTGAAAAAGGATTAAAAAAAAAAACACTTATTTCAGTAATTTAAATTAGGACTGTAAATGTGGTAAAACAATTGTGATTACCCTTAATTTTGAGTATGCTAAAAGCTGTCTATAATACAGGTGTCAAATCGTAAATTTATTTTCATTTACATCCTTCATTCTAGGGTTAATTAAATGACTGTTAAAGTTAATGGACACAAACCCTTGTGCAATATTCACATGAAAGCCTGAAACAATTAAATTATTTATTTAATGTGATTATTAAATACATTTACATAAATTTAATGAGTAACATGAGTTATAAGGCATCTTAAAATGAACAGTGTACTACATTAGAATAAATTAACAAGTTTAGAATGTATCTAACTATTAATTCATTTATAATGTAAGAAGAAAATACAGGTATCTTTCTCCATTAAAACTTAACTTTGTATATCTGGAAATATTTAAGATATTATTTAATCCAAAATAGCATGCCATATGAATTGATAAAGACTGGTTTCAAGCTAAAGTACCTGCATGCACTAAAGGAAATTGAAAGACTGACTTTCACGATGCTTGCATAAACGTAATTAGAAAAACTTTATGGTAGCACGTTTGTGTCTTGACGCAGATATGACAACACGACAGACATGATATTCAGCGCTGAGAACAAGCATCGTACAGATTATGCAATTCACAATTAAGCCTAGAGCGAATGAAACGCGCTCTAATTTTACAGTTTCAAAGCATGGAAACAGCGTAATGCCACACTCAATTCTTTCAAAAACAAATATAAAATTTACCATTTGATGAATTCTCTCATCCCAGTAGAAAACCGCCCAAATGTGGCAGCTTCAGACTCGTAGTAAAACCAGGCCTCGGCGGGAATGGAGGCTGATCTGTCAACGAACCACAATGAAAGAAGCTAAAAGTATATATAACATAAATTGTAAGCACATTCCAAAAAATAATTTTACACATAAAATCAAATTTTTTCAGGAAATCGAACCGGCATGAGAAACTTTCACACTCTTCTGTAGGGCTACATCTCTGCACCTCATGAACTCAACTCTTTAAACCTGACAAAAACACTCGCAGTTAATAATTTCTAAATGTGTTCACCACCAATCATATTTCGAGTAAAATTATCAACAAAAAATATTTTCCCGTGTAATTTTATAAAGAGAAAAGCAATCCAACTTACCGTCTCTTCGCATGAAGATAAAATGGCGTTGTCGCTTCGCGAGGCAGCAGTCATTGAAGGGCAGAGTCCAGATTCGGCAGGTTTTTTTTTATTCCGCACTTTCAGTGTAAAAGTGAAATTACACCATGTTACAACACTGAACATGAGTACTGTTTAACACTGTAGATTGCTAATTCAACTCTTTGGGAATTAATAACTTTTAATATTTAGTCTAGTGTGCTTTTTAATTCAAGCGAGAAAGAAAATTGAATTAAGCAGCAAGGTCACTGGAACATGTTGTGTCCATGAGCAGATAATTGCCTCTTCTGGAGGGGAAAAGAGAAGACTGATTAGAGCTTGCTGCCAAACATCTCACAACTATACTTCTCTCAGTTCTTCCCCCCCAATTTCTACTATCTTGTTTTATTATTAGTGGCATTCGGGCAAGCATTACAATTGCTAAAGAGAACGAGAAAAAAAAAGAAAATTCTGTCATCATTAACTTACCCTCATGTTGTCCTTCCATTGAAAGTCAATTTCACCAAAAATGTGATGCTTTATAAAGACATTGTAAACATAATCAATACAAACTGAGCAGTTTAATCCAAGTCTTCTGGAGGTACACAGTCACTTTATATGATGATTTAATTTAGATATTGTATTCACGTATATGCATTGATCACCACACATTTTATTAGCACATCAAATATGGTAAACGGAAGTTTAAAAGTGTTTGTTTTATATATACAGTGCTGCTTGAATGTCTGTGAACCCTTTAGAATTGTCTATATTTCTGCATAAATATAACCCAAAAAATCATCAGATTTTCATGGCTACATCTCTGCACCTCATGAACTCAACTCTTTAAACCTGACAAAAACACTCGCAGTTAATAATTTCTAAATGTGTTCACCACCAATCATATTTCGAGTAAAATTATCAACAAAAAATATTTTCCCGTGTAATTTTATAAAGAGAAAAGCAATCCAACTTACCGTCTCTTCGCATGAAGATAAAATGGCGTTGTCGCTTCGCGAGGCAGCAGTCATTGAAGGGCAGAGTCCAGATTCGGCAGGTTTTTTTTTATTCCGCACTTTCAGTGTAAAAGTGAAATTACACCATGTTACAACACTGAACATGAGTACTGTTTAACACTGTAGATTGCTAATTCAACTCTTTGGGAATTAATAACTTTTAACACTGCAAATATTACACTGCTGATTTTACTGTGTACATAATTTGTAGAGTATCTGTTTTTCTACTTTTTTTTTAAACAATCTTCTGTTAAACTCCTCTTTGGTCTTGTCAAAAATTCTGTAAATATTCCTTAATGCCACATTTGTGCTCTTCTGTGCCCTAGAGTCCATCTGTTCAGAGGTGTTTTTAATCAGCGAGATGACTTTCAGGTGTCAGTGTGTGCCCTGTTTTATTTAAAGAACAGGGATCTATCAAAGTTTGGTCATGTTTATGGAAGTGTATCATGGCACAAACAAATGAGATCTCTGATGACCTCAGAAAATATTGTTTAATTAAAATTTTTGATAAAAGTTTATAAATCTAAATTTTTGGCACAAAAGATGACACATTAAATAAAGTTAGAAAAATAGCATTACAAAGGTTGTATAATTGAGCAGCTCATTCTACAATCTGGAACAGGTTTGGATAGGGCTGTACAGTGTGACAAATCGGTCTGAGCCTCGAATAAATGTATTACAGTAGCACGTGTGCGATACAGTTTTACATGTGTATGAGCCTGTTTACAAACCTGTTGTCCAACAAAGATATTATTTATTGACGTGCTTTTTCTCCATATTAACTTCATAACATAGTCGAGTGTTTGAAATAACTTATTTTTGTGACCAGACGTGGTTTCGTATCACAGAATAAGGCAAAAAACATACTATTTTATGGTATTATATACAGTGATAAATGCTATGTCGGTTAGCATTGCATTATAAATATACTATAAAAATACCCAAGATTGCTTGAAGAACACAGATACCAGATATTTTGTGCAATCGCATGTTTATTGTCTTCAGGTTTCCTCAGTTAAAAGTTCTCAACCTCAGAAAAAGAGTTAGTGTTGCTCATCAGGCTAGAAAAGGTTTCAAAGCCATCTCTAAAGAGTTTGGACTCCACCAATCCACGGTCAGATAGATTGTGTACAAATGGAGGTAATTCAAGACCACTGTTACCCTCCCCAGGAGTGGTCCACCAACAAAGAACACTCTAAAAGCAA